CTCGCTCTGCTATACCCCAGTTTGTTCGGTAGCATGAGGCATTCTTCAATAGCATCTTGGGCCTTCCCGCGGCAATAATGCTTCAAGTACAGGAACTTCTGTCCTGGATCGGAGACACGACAGTTGACGAAATTATCAAAATCTGATAAATCTCCAGTAGTTACTGGGGTTCCCGTCGAACGGCATAAGTTCCACTTTCGGCAGATCTATCGACGGGTGGCGGTACACTAATTCAGCCGGTGGTTGAGCCGCTTCCGACGTAAAACTAACGGGTAGGGTCTGTTTCTCCGCCGCGGCGTGCATAGTCGAGCCTGATTGCCTAGCCTCCCATTCCCTAAGCTTCATCGATCTAATCTCCTTCTCTAACTCTACAATCTGACGGAGATATAAATCAGAAATCTTAACGTCGGCATGACAATCTAAGGCACATGAACTCCTAGCACTAACAGGGCTAACTGAATTGAAAATGTGAGAATCAGAAATCCCCCAAGTTCCCAGTTATTTGCCGGTTTACTTTCTGTCTTTCTTCCTCGATCCTTCCTTGTTCGAACGACATTCTCATGTTCCAAATTGTGCAAATTTTGAGTACCGTAACCCCCGAATAGATCAACGAGCAACGCGTAGCCGAAATTGGATCCCAAAACGTCAACGAAACGATCCGGCAAATTTCTACGGTACTGCATTAATAAGCGATCAAATAAGCAAATAAAACTGTGCAAACCCCAAAGTGATCTCGAAACAACTTGAAAATAAGAGCCAAGTGTTACTGTGAGCGTAATTCAACAAATCTGAATGAAAAAATGAGCCTGGATAAGAATAGTACGCTCACCGTCACGCTGCACATGAACGAGCCAAATGTGAGCGCTCAAGTTGCGATTAAAAAAAGTAGGGTAAAAATTGAAGCAGATAAACAAACAAACTCAAATGGTAGGATTGATGTGTAAATATATAAGGGGAGTGGAACTTCAAATGTCTATATGTATATGAGGCGGATGGTGTTTGGTGAATGGAACGTAAACTTCACGAAATGTGGAACGGAGGTGGAATGACTGGGCTTTACAGGACGGATTTTCACAGATCGATCGTTACAGAGGATCTACACCAATCCGTCAAACTGCCCTGGTTCCTGTGATAGCAGAGCCATTCTTTCACCCAGATGAATTAGAATTCGTGGTGAGGGGATTGCAAGGGCTCACGTCGGCAGGGTTCGAAGGTATCCACCCTGCGATTATGAAGCCGCCAGTGATCGTTATGAGTGACCAGCCTGCGAGACTAATCAGTCGGTCACTTGAGACTGCAGCTGTGCCGGAAGACTGGACAGTGGCTGAAGGACTCCCCATACATAAACGGGGCTGCACGGATGAACCGACAAACTATAGACCGGTCAGGCTAACACCGGTCTCACTGAAGGTAATGGAGAGAATATTGAGGGATAGGATGGCGCAGCACCTAGTAACTCACGATTTGCTATCGGGCAAACAACATGGCTTTGTCAAGGGGAAGTCGTGTTTGACGAACATACTGGCATTTCTGGACGAGGTTACGGCCAGGCTGGATAGAGGACATGGAGTCGAAGTATGCTACTTTGACTTTCAGAAAGCATTCGACTCTGTCAACCATCGTCTTCCATTGCGAAAAATACTAGCACTCGGCTTTAGCCCCGGCATCGTTAGGTGGATCAACGAATACCTCCGTGGGAGAACTCTCCATGTTAAGATGGATGGGGCAAGGTCGGGTAGAGCAGCAGCATGCAGTGGCGTCCCCCAGGAATCGGTATTAGGGCTGCCACTTTTCATCATCTATATCAACATTCTGCCCAAGAACTACTAGGGTCGTGTTTTGTGTTTGCGGATGATGTTAAGCTAGTTGGGGACTCCACCCCAGCGCAAACACAACAAGACCTAGATCGTCTGCAAAAGTTGACGATGGAATAGGAGCTGCCACTGAACACCGATAAGTGCAGAAAGCTTCTGTTCCAGGAAGTCCAGCCACCATTAACTAACAGGCTACTGAACCTGGATTAACCTCAGGAAATAACCCAAACAGGGCAGATGAGGGATCTGGGAGTGCTCATACACGAAACCTGCAAACCAGCCAAGCAGTGCTTCCTAGCGGCAACAAAAGCTAGCGACAAAAGCTACTGAGAACTGTGGCCGCAAGAGACAGGGAAGTCCTTCTCCTGCTCTGTAAAGCGTTTGTGAGGCCCCACTTAGAGTACTGTGTGTAAGCCTGGAAGCCATCCCTAGCGAAAACATCGGTGATAATACTAGAAAGGAGGTTCACAAGGCGAATCCGGGGGATGGAAAAGTTGGACTATCACATTAGGCTTATAGAACTTAACCTGTTCTCTTTGGTTAGAAGAAGATTAAGAGGGGATCTCATAGGGGCTTTCAAGCAAATAAAGGGTTTATCTAGTACGGAAACGCAACTGCTATCCAGAAGTAATAACCTCGCACAGCGAGGAAACGGAATGAAGCTTGAAAAGCCGAGAGCACTAAGGAGCATCTGGGTAAATTTCTTCGCTCATAGGGTTGAAACAAGTTACCAGCCTCGGTTGTTTCAGCAGCCTTGGTTGAGGAGTTCAAGGTCGCCTAGATGCAATGTAGACGGAACTTTTTCTGGAAGCTCTATAAAAGGGACGAAACAGGACAAATGGTGTAGGCCTGCATGCATGTCCGAGTGTGTACACTCGTGAGTACTGGAAAAGACCTGAATATCCCTGGTGGGTAGACAGTAGACTGAGCAGTTGTGCGGCAATCACAAAATCACTATTACACAGGGTAGGCGGGCAACGGGCTCAGGCTGACACATGCTCAGGGTCAGTGCTTGAATGCCGGTGGACTAAATAATCTGGAAGTATGGCTTCAGGGAGGATGAAGGAGGCTGTGACACGTTTTCATCATTATCCCTTGTCCTCTGCACTATCGAATTTTCTTCTCTTCCTCCCCTGTTTCATCAGGAAACCTTACACCTTATCAATCAATCTATACAGGACGATCCGAAGGAAACCATCACACCCCCAACCGACAGAGATAGGCGGCGACGACTCCTAAGGTTGGTACAATAAGAGGCACCCTAAATCATACGGGTGGCAGGAGCAAACGGTGGAGCTCGGTCGCGAACCAGCCCTGCAAGCAGGGGGAGAAACAAAAATAAATTGTTCATATGGGTGGACAGAAATAGCATCCGCTATGCTGCCCCAAAAGAAACGGATACATGTTTTTACACTACATTTCATGGTTATAATACCATAAACCCTGAGCGCAATGCCAACGGATTAACGTTTTCCCCACCTAGATAAAGAGTGTCCGAGTAAACCAAAACTCTTTTTACTAAGGGGTGCCCGGTTCGGAGGCTGACTCTTGTCCCGTCAGCTCTTCTTCACTCTATGACGAATGATGTTCACGTAAGAGATTCCTTGACTGTTGTTTGGGTTCAGGGTCCCATAAATCTTCCTTAAACCTCCAACTGATCCAGGTTGAAAAACCAGGTCCCTACCCAGCGCATGCGAGACTGGAACCCTAGGTAATGACCAGAGGAGACTTGGTTGGACTAAACGTACCCTGTTTATGACATACGTGAGTATAGTCAGAGCGTTCACCTAGCACTCAACGTCGTACTGTCGTTCTCGTTCTGGGACCAGAAAGGATGGCTACCACTATACATTAATAAATGCACAGGACTGCATGGACGTAAGGAAGGTATGGAGGTGTGTGTTTGAGTTTGACTAAACGTATGCGTGGCTGCAGGTACAAGCACGTCGGGTGGTATGAAGAAGGTGACACGCAATCACGGGCGGGGGTAATCAATCGTAGGCTAAGGTGAATCGAGTTTGTCTTTTTCGTGTTACATGCTCATACTGATTCT